CACAGCGCTCCAAATTAGAATTATTAAGAATTTATTTAAAGAAGAATTTGAATTATTAAGAATTTATTTAGAGAAGAATTAGAATTATTAAGAATTTATTTAAAGAAGAATTAGAATTATTAAGAAATTATTTAGAGAAGAATTAGAATTATTAAGAATTTATTTAAAGAAAAATTAGAATTATTAAGAATTTATTTAGAGAAGAATTAGAATTATTAAGAATTTATTTAAAGAAAAATTAGAGTTATTAAGAATTTATTTAGAGAAGAATTAGAATTATTGAGAATTTATTAAGATAATGTAATTATCTAAATAAATTCTTGTAAATGAAATCCCCCCCCCTTATATTCATTATTTCATATAATCTTTCAGGCAATATCATAATAGTTGAGGGAAAGCTGAATTACATAACTCTAGACGTTTACATATCTAGAGTTACTCTCAAGCATCCACATGAAAACATAAATCAAGTACACATAACATTCGTGTTAAGTAATATTTTTATTTTCCTGATTCAAATCAAATACTCCATCAATAATGTTCTGGCTGACTGACAAATAAACTTTGCAAATACTATATTTTATTAGAGTTAATCTTTAATTATAATGAAAATTCATTATACAAATGAATCTATTAAGAGTAGTTATTTTAATTTATTCTTATAAATAAATCCTCCAGCTACACTGATTATTTCATTTGATCTTTTAAGCAATTTCATACTGGCTGAAGGAATCATAATGAAATTCTAGGTATTTACATATCTAGAGTTACTCGCAAGCATCCTTAAAGAAGACATAAATCAAGTACACGTAACATTCGTGTTAAGTAATATTTTTATTTTCCTGATTCAAATCAAACACCCCAACAATAATTTTTTGGCAGAATGATGGTTGTAATAAACCTTGTAAATACTATATTAGAGTTAAATACTATATTAGTGTAAATACTATATTAGATTTTTTCTTTTTACAACTGAATCTATTAAGAATAGCTATCTTAGTTTATTCTTATAAATAAAATTGCCCGCTTTTGTTCATAATTTTATTTAATCTTTTATGCAATTTCAAACTAGCTGATGGAATGCAAACGTAACTCTAGGTTTGTAAAATCTTAAGCATTTGCAAGGATGCATAAATCAAGTACACGTAACATTCGTGCGAACACGGAATAAAATAGCCGGATGATTCTCCCGAGAATACTAATGCAATATACGGGTCACGCTTCCCTTTTGCTTGAATCTAAAAAGGGTTTCGTTCATTAAACTAGAAATTTTGACGAAGTTCACAGCGCTCCAAAAATTGTTTTTTCATTTGCTTTTAAAGATTCCTACCAGCGTTTAAAATTTTGCACGCTATGTCTTGCGTTGTTACAAGGCTCGAGTAATATGTTATCTTAGTGACCTAAATACATACGCACAGATAATATATATGAAATTTTGAAGCAATGAAGTCTTGAACGATACATATTTGTGTTTTACGTATTGATTTAAATGGCTTTACAGTTATTTTAAACACAGTTTACGAAATTTAAACAAGCATTTCAAAATTTTAAAAAATTTAGTAGTTTAAATCATCACAGTCCAGAAATTCTACTGGGTTTTATTATCTTGACTGTTTTAATAACATAAAAAAAGATTTTTAAAAAAAAAGAAAGAAAAAAATTACCTCAAGTAAAGCCACCTCTGATTTTAGTTTGAACTTATCGGTTATGGCAAGAAATTTAGGATGTTACGTACCATTCATTAAACCCACATAAGCATCTATATTATCACAGATTTCAAAGATTACATGCAAGATTATATACAAAAATAAGCAGTTTCCTTCTGTGACACAATTGAATGCTATCATCATTGAAATTTGACACAATATGGATGCTAAGGAAGACAGTTGCAGATCTGGGATGGTAAATGATATGCAACATCACACATTATTTTTAATATGTGTGATGTTGCATATCACAATACTAAAAGAATACAAAAAATTTTAATTCTAAATTGACAAAACTTCTTTGAAAAAAAAAACGCGCTTAAATGTGTTGCATATCACATGCGCGCGTGTTGCATATCACATGTTGCATATATGTTTATTATAACTTAAGTTAGATAAAAAAAAAATCAGGCTGATATTTAAGCTATAATCAAAAGTAGTTTTATTTCGTTAGGACACTTTTTTCTCCCATTTTTTACTTATTCGATGTTTGTTTTTTTCTTGTAGAAATGGAGGAGATGAGTTGTATGCTTTTAAAAATGTTTTTTGTTGAGTTTAGGAATTGTAAATATGCATTAGATCTAGACGTAGATGTAGACATTTAGATGTAGACTTTCTTAATTATATATGTTTGGTTCTAAGTGCGTTTTTTTACGTCCAGTTGTCACAAAAAATCAAGGTCGCTTTATTTTGTTGGGACACACTGTAGTAATATTTTGATGCGAATAGTGAATATTTGTTTACATTTGACGATTGCTTACAAAAGTGTTAGATTCCAATTAAGTAAATTAAATAAGAATTTTTTTTTATAAAGGCATCAAATTTCGCAATAAAATGCCTTATTTCTCATAACTATTGGAAAATGTTGATAAAAGCAATCGTAAACTTGATAATGTTTAAAATGTACGTATAACAAAAGACATGAAATATTCTTATTAAATATCTCTTTAGTGGCAGATGTTTCATTTCGATTTTTAATTCTGGAAATATTATTTTTTAATTTAGGTGCTCAGAACGAATTTCGGTTGCAAGAAGCAGCTTTAAAAAATGATGTGGAACAAACAAAGAAGGTTCTCGAATCCAAAGTTGACCTTAACGCCAAAGGATACGTAAGTATATCTTTCGAAATCAAGTTAGAAAATAATTTTTATTAAATACATGGGGTTTTGCCTTGCTTACAGTATATTACGAATTGCCTGTTTAGAAGTGCTGTTCAAGTAAAAAGTGGCCACGCCTAATAGCATCCTAAATACAATAACAATAGCAACAATATCGATCGAGTTTATAGAACTGGGTAAAAGTATTGCACCGCAAACTATTTATATCCTTCTGACAAGTTCAAAAAAGAATATTTAAAGAGAATCTTGATACGAGCTAACAGGAAATCATTTAGAAAAAAGCAACGCAAAGTAATACGATGTTTGGTTCGAAAACACGACTGCATCGTTCTTTTACTTTGACAAAAGGCTGCATAGATATCAAATGTCGTAAACCATAAATCATTTCAGCAACAGCAGCATTGGATTCATTGGTAATCATGGTGCTTGCTTTTCCTGATTCTTGGCAGACCCAATATTAATGTACGCCGTTCTCGAAAACTTTTAAACCATTGTTGTTGTTTACGTATGCCTGTTTAGGCAGAGGGGGAGCGATTGTTCTCGTTTTCCAGTGGCGCCATCTATGACCAAGAATTCGACCATTTGACCATTTTAAACCATTTTTTCATATATCTCTCTCTTAGACCATTAACAGCCGCCAGTTGACAATACATGTCCGTTTTAAGCCCACATTCTGCACAAAAGCCTTATTTTATAATCACGCAATATTTTGTTTTGGACATATCCATAGAGTTGGATGCTCACATGACAGTATACAACACATAAGGCACTTGGGCAATATATAGAAGAAATACAACGTCACCATTTAAGGTTATAAAAGAAAGTAAAATGAGTGTATCTCAAACTGCGTAAATACTTTTTGCTAATTCATATAAGAGTCTTCAATGCGAATGCTAATTCGTCCAAAGATAGATAAGGCTAGAAAAAAGTAGTGGTAAAACGTGATTGCTCCTTTCCTTTAATCAGTACTATGCAGTTATCACTACCATCACAAGTCGTAACTTTTCGATTACCTCTCATCTAATACAGCAGCTATGGATTCTTTAGAAAAAATAGTGTTTGCTACTGTAGGTCATTTTCATATCTGATATTCATTAACGCCCTTTATGAACACTTTCACGCCGTATGTTTATAACTTTTTCTCAGACAATCTTTGTCGTAAATAGCAACTGTTTCATGAAAAATTTCCATATTACGCTGGCCTCCAGCCACTAAAATTTGTACTTTAGAGCCTTGTTCCATTCAGGACGCATCCATCTTAGCACAACTTTACATTCACTTTAAATGCTCTTATGTTAATCAGTTATTCAGTTACACGCAATATGTGGTGCTCTTCTTATGGACGACGCTGCTATTACTACTATATTTCTTTAACACATTTATCCACTTTTCATTTAGGCAACACTAGTATCATATTTTAATTAAAATAGTATCATTTAAGAAGAAAATCTTATTTGAAGTTATGTTGCGTTTTGAACATGCATGTTTATGTGAGCCACATTTTGTAATGCAGAAAAGGTGGTCAAATATCGTCACGCCTTTTCATACGCATGTGAGCAAAAGTAATAAAATGTTTATCTTTGAGACAGCTTTCTATTTCGGTACTGTTTCCTTGATATAAACGAATGAAATGAGGTTACCTTGCATCAGAAATTGCTTTAAAAAAAGAGAGAGAGAGAAACCTTTCATTTTTCTCTTTTTCTTATTTCTTAAGAACTAAATCAAGAATTCATCTTGCGAATTTACAAGATGAAATTCTCCTAAAGAAATGATGTAAGCTTCTTTTTGCTGAATCTCGTTAAAAGCTTTCGTAAAATCCATTTCATTCCTAAATAAAAATTTGAAAAGAAAAAGAAAAATCAAACGATAACTGCAAACTATGCAAAAAAAACTTGTTTTGTTAAAATTTTCTACAATAAATATTTTTTCATAAAAAAAACCTTTCTATATGATAGGTACTTTTTCTTAAGAACTAAATCAAATACATATATATATATATATATATATAGGAGTAGAAATTAGTTNTCTTTTCTTTTCTTTTTTGTAAAATGACAATTTTAGTCTATTTTCTGTCAAAATGTACTAGTACAAATACGCATTAGTTGTAGTCGTGGTAGTCGCGTAATATTTACATAATATCATGTAAATATTGCTACCAACTTTTAGGGGAGGTAAGAACACACAAACCATGCCCGGAAATGTTATCATCCGCAGCTAGGGGCGCTTCCCTGTTATGAACTGCTTTTCATGTGCTTCTTAATAGGCCATAATAGGAGAAGCATACCTAGCCGCGTACGACACCATTTCCAGGCCTGTTGTCATATGCAATATCATTTCTGATGGTGTGCTCTAACTCAATTAGAAGTTTGACGCAATATTTTCATCACCCCTTTTTACATTATAACATTTTCAAACCTGCACATGTCGACAAAAAATAGATTAAAATTGTCCTTTTGCAAAAATCCGTAGTTTTGAGAGAAAAACAAATTTGAAATTTGAAATCCCTACACCCAAATTCGGTAAGATCAAGTATTTGTATAAATGCAACAAAACATTTGTTCCCCGTTTTTATTTTCTCTCCTATACGTTTTACATAAATTTTACTTACGTTTTATTTATTTTTTAGTGCAATTATTGTTGCGATTCATAAGGAGTTGTTTTGGCGAAAAAAGATCTTGTGCTCACCTTTTTTTTTCCTGTCAGTAATTCAATCGCCATCTTTCTCCTGAAGGATTTGCAAAAATTTTTGAACGGTCCTAAGTTGATTTAATCTATCATTTACTTTGAAAAAAAAATTTATTAAGCGGATAGAAAGAAGAACTTTTTGTATAGAAAATTAATTTCGATAAATTTATTAAGGTATAATGATATGTTCTTAAAATACTCTTAGAAATTAAAATAATTTTATTTTAAATACGTTTTATTCATTTTTTCAAAAACAAATTACAAGAAATTATAAAATATAATTTTACAGGTTTCGATAACACTATTAGATTCAGAAGTAATGCAAGAAATTACTTGTAAAAATACATTTGAATTAAAAATAATATTTAATTTAATTAGGAAGATTGATAATATTTGACTTAGCTAAGAAAATATTTTTTTTTGTTGGAAAAATTGTTTTTACAAGAAAAACACATCACAAATTTCTGTAATATTAAAACTACATTTTTTAATTTTGCTCAAAATTATTTGATGAGTAAAAAAAATAAATCTTGAGCACTTTCAAATAATGTATTATTTAACATATTAAAGATTTTAATAGGAATCGATTGAATTAATTGCCAATTTAGAACAGGTTTTTTTAATCTGATTATTGATGAACCTAGTAGTAAAATAAAGAAAATGTTAGAAAAAAAATCCAAGTTAGATTAATCATTATATAAAATTTTCGCAAAATTCCCATTTATAATAGAAAAAATTACCTTGAATTTATTGATAGTAAGTGGATAGATTTTTTATGTATATTATTCATCATAATATTGACATATATTATTATTTTATATATATATATATATATAAAATAATAATATATGTCAATATTATGATGAATAATATACATAAAAAATCTATCCACTTACTATCAATAAATTCAAGGTAATTTTTTCTATTATAAATGGGAATTTTGCGAAAATTTTATATAATGATTAATCTAACTTGGATTTTTTTTCTAACATTTTCTTTATTTTACTACTAGGTTCATCAATAATCAGATTAAAAAAACCTGTTCTAAATTGGCAATTAATTCAATCGATTCCTATTAAAATCTTTAATATGTTAAATAATACATTATTTGAAAGTGCTCAAGATTTATTTTTTTTACTCATCAAATAATTTTGAGCAAAATTAAAAAATGTAGTTTTAATATTACAGAAATTTGTGATGTGTTTTTCTTGTAAAAACAATTTTTCCAACAAAAAAAAATATTTTCTTAGCTAAGTCAAATATTATCAATCTTCCTAATTAAATTAAATATTATTTTTAATTCAAATGTATTTTTACAAGTAATTTCTTGCATTACTTCTGAATCTAATAGTGTTATCGAAACCTGTAAAATTATATTTTATAATTTCTTGTAATTTGTTTTTGAAAAAATGAATAAAACGTATTTAAAATAAAATTATTTTAATTTCTAAGAGTATTTTAAGAACATATCATTATACCTTAATAAATTTATCGAAATTAATTTTCTATACAAAAAGTTCTTCTTTCTATCCGCTTAATAAATTTTTTTTTCAAAGTAAATGATAGATTAAATCAACTTAGGACCGTTCAAAAATTTTTGCAAATCCTTCAGGAGAAAGATGGCGATTGAATTACTGACAGGAAAAAAAAAGGTGAGCACAAGATCTTTTTTCGCCAAAACAACTCCTTATGAATCGCAACAATAATTGCACTAAAAAATAAATAAAACGTAAGTAAAATTTATGTAAAACGTATAGGAGAGAAAATAAAAACGGGGAACAAATGTTTTGTTGCATTTATACAAATACTTGATCTTACCGAATTTGGGTGTAGGGATTTCAAATTTCAAATTTGTTTTTCTCTCAAAACTACGGATTTTTGCAAAAGGACAATTTTAATCTATTTTTTGTCGACATGTGCAGGTTTGAAAATGTTATAATGTAAAAAGGGGTGATGAAAATATTGCGTCAAACTTCTAATTGAGTTAGAGCACACCATCAGAAATGATATTGCATATGACAACAGGCCTGGAAATGGTGTCGTACGCGGCTAGGTATGCTTCTCCTATTATGGCCTATTAAGAAGCACATGAAAAGCAGTTCATAACAGGGAAGCGCCCCTAGCTGCGGATGATAACATTTCCGGGCATGGTTTGTGTGTTCTTACCTCCCCTAAAAGTTGGTAGCAATATTTACATGATATTATGTAAATATTACGCGACTACCACGACTACAACTAATGCGTATTTGTACTAGTACATTTTGACAGAAAATAGACTAAAATTGTCATTTTACAAAAAAGAAAAG